ATCCTTCTATCAAACTTACCGCAAACGTGAGTGACAAAAGCATAGACTTTCTCGATACCACAGTCTTTAAGGGAGATTCCATAGCAGAAACAAATAAACTGGATATTAAAGTGTATTTCAAAGAAACTGATACTCATCAACTCTTGCACAAGAGCTCCTTTCACCCAAAACATACCTTTTCTGGTATAATTAAGTCACAAGTTTTACGATTTCATCGAATTTGTACAAGATCTTCTGATTTCAACCAAGCCTGTACGATTGTTTTCTCAAAACTGAAAGAGCGTGGGTACTATAAACGATTTTTACGAAACATAAAACCTCCAGGTTTAAGAAGTACTCCATGTTTGTCCAGTAGATGCAAAACATGTCCCTTTATATCCGAAACTCATTATTTTGTAAGCAACTCTACGAATAAAAGGTACCCGATCCAGGAACATCTAACATGTGAACATTCGAATGTAATATATTTAATTTCATGCAAGAAATGCCCCAAACAATATGTAGGAGAAACTAAGAATAATTTACGAACTCGCTTTAATGCTCATAGGTCAGACATCAAATTAAAGAAAGACAAGCCTGTTTCTAATCATTTCAACCTCGACGACCATTCAATAGACGATCTAGCCCTAATCCCAATTGAGCGGATAGAAATTGACTTGCCCGAGGTTGAAACTACCAGATTCCGTAAATCTAGGGAAGCCCATTGGATTGAGACATTGAATACAGCAAGACCTATAGGACTACGTATTCATCATAATGTAGGCATAGCACCCTTTGTTGCCCCGTTTAATACAACCAGCAATCGAGCAAGCAAGATAGTTCATGCCCACTATAAGAGCCTTCAAGAGAAATTCCCATGTCTATAAGCAGAAAATGATAGTTGCATATTCAAAAAATAAGAACTTAAATGATAATATTGTTCATAGTAAACTAAAAACAATCAGTACATAACAGATACTATACTTCTCGTCCATCGGGCCAGTTATTTTTTCTAATTTCAGATCAGAATAAGAACAGAAGAAAACCCAATATCAAGACCCTTAATCCTAATTTCTAAATAAAGTGTCTGCTCCACCCCAGGCCTGTACATTTGGGGGGATCAAACCCTCCCTTCCCCGAAAGCTAAAAACATTCTTCAAAAATGATTTTGGGGTTATATAGTTTCATATATGGTAAGATATACATTTATCTAGATTATGGTCTAGTTTTTATTAATAAGAGTACCTTCCCAAATTTTTTACTGAAAAATCAGACTACTTTTTTTATTGATATTACAGAGCCAGTAATTGTAAGAATGACGCTCTTTACCTGCAACCCAGAAAGTTCCACAAAGGAAATGATTGGTACACATCTAACCTAATTGGCATCCACACTCTACAGAATATAGTGAAAGACATGTGTTCCAGGGCAGGATTTTCTGGCAATTTTTCAAACCATTCACTCAGAGCTACTGCAGCAACGCGATTTTATAATGCCGGGATTGACGACCAACTGATAAGGGAAAACACCGGCCATCGTTCAAACGCCGTGAGAGTATATAAACGGACATCTGAGGATCAATTAAAAAATAAACGAAGGAAATGCTCAGATGATAGTGCTGCTGATGTTGGTAAGGAATCAAGTGATGGTGCTTCCGGGACATTAAAAGAACATACTGAATAATATTTCGAAATTTTGTCAAAATTCGGCAAGAATTGTACCTTTTAGTGGTTAAGAGCTAAAATTTGAAAGGGTTTTCATGAACGATGTCAATGACTCCTATAAAACATTTGGTTTTTTTTTCGATAGGGTTCATCAATGGGCAATAATAAACAATTTCATCAAGTTTCTTCAAAATTCGTCAAAAATTGTGCCTTCTAGAGGGTTTACAAGCTAGAAATTGAACAAATTTCCAAGAACAAGGGCAATAACTCATACTAAGTATTTTTCAATTCTTCTGATTTTCAATGGGGTTCATCCATAGGTGATTACTAACACTTACGGCAAGTTTTGTCAAAATCCGTCAAGAATTGTGTCTTATAGAGTGTTTACGAGCAATTGTGGACCGACGGGACATGGGTTACGGCAATATACGCCCCCACATCATGTGGGCGTATAAAAATGGCTTGATTTAAACAGAATTAAAAGTGGCTACTACATCACAACTAATATGACAAAATACTTTATAAAGACTCCTTTTGACCGAATCCATTATTCAAGATGATAATTCAGATATGCGAAGGTCATCCTGGCTTCAAGCCAAACCTATAATCTAGAATACTACATAAGGGTCGGGTTGTGATCTAGGGATGAGCATAGTGTATCTGCTTTGTTTCAATTATTGATCAATTGGTCAAGATTTCAAAAGTAGCTAACTTGATATGGTTATAACATTTATTGATAATTTGAAAAATATGTATAAAAAACTCAAATTTGACCTCCTGGGGTACTTCAGGGCCCCAGAGATCCAAATTTTGCACCTAACCAAAATGATCCCAAAATTAGTTGAAATGGCCCCTTAAAATTGGTCAAAATGGCCCACGGAAAAGGTCAAAATGGCATCAAAATAACATTTGATTTCAGTCTACAGTTTTTCCTCTGTATACACTGGTCAACATTTTTAATATATACACAAACTCATTCCAACAAATTTGAACCAAAAATACTTTGGCAATTTTTTTTGCGGCATTTTACCAACAATTCCCCAACAAAGTATTGGAATCAGGAATGTTGGGAACATGTTGAAAAACAATTTGACATGTTGGATAACATGATGGAAAACAATTTGACATGTTGGATAACATGATGGAAAACAATTTGACATGTTGGGGAACATGATGACATGAACGTGTTAATGTTGTTATGCAAGTTGAAGGACATGTTGAAAGTGTGGACACACCATTAGTCTCCTGATTTGTAAATCACCAGGTCTCGATATCCTCTTTCTCTGAATTTACCCGGTCGTTGAAAAAGAATGAAATATAAAACACAAAAACTAAAAAAAAAAAAACCCCAAAAAAAAACCAACAAACAGAATGCCGTTAATAGGAATTAAATTTTACAATAAAATAATATTTCAATTTTCTTTAAAACTACATTAAAAGATAGTAAAATTTCGTGGTTAAGAAGGGGCGGAAGGAGCAATGTTGACTGGACGAAAAAGCTCTGGTCTTTAGATTTTTACATTTATTTTCATTCATTGTGCCGAATAGCTATAAAATCATACTCATAACAGCTGGTTTGTAAAAAAAAACAAGTAGAAATGGTTTAGACTAAACAAGCAAATATATACACATAACATTACAATAAAAATAAATGAGGTAGTTTTGAGACCGGCTGGGCTGAGGGTTAGTCCGGAAATACTTTTTGTATTATGTTATTTATATTATGTCGAAAAGACCACATGAAACACTAGCACAATGAATGAAAATAAATGTAAAAATCTAAAGACCAGAGCTTTTAACTTTTTGTTTTATGTTTTTTTAATTACGTCGAAAAGACAACATGAAACACTAGCACAATGGAAATATAAATGAAAAAATCTAAAGACCAGAGATTTTAACTTTTTGTTTTATATTTGATTATGCCTAAAAGACAACATGAAACGCAGCACAATGAAAATAAATAAAGAAATCTAAAGACCAGAGATTTTAACTTTTTGTTTAATGTTTTTTTATATTATGTCTGCCTCTCTATTTAGTGTGTGCTATTGAGCAGTGCTTTCTCTTTTAGACACCCAGTGCCATTCTTTATTATGAAATGCTTCCTCAACTATGACTTCTACACTTGGACAATCTAAAATAAAAAAAATTGTATGCCACTTGGTTTATTCACAATAAGTTAAAATTTAATAATTTGATTATATCTGTCAATCTTATTGACGTTGGAGCTTCTAAATACACAAAAAAAAAAACAATATTGTGCTGAAGGCTGACCAATAATGTACATTGATGAAGCATTGTTGGTTTCTCCGAAACAGTTATTAAATGTTGGCAGTAAAACAGTCAAAATGAATGTTCCAATATCGCAAGGATAACAACTCATTGCTGTTCACACAGGCTTGGAAGACGGTTTTGCGCCTAATTCCCCTTTGCTGTTCAAATCAAACTCAACTTGCGACTGCCATGACGAAATAAATCAGTATGGCCTGGAATATTTTTGAAATGCTCTACGAATGGGCATCAAACTGTTCGGATGAATAAACAATGTGCCATGTTTAGAATTCAATTGAGGGGTAATTTAAACCAATAAATACATTACTTTTATACCCTTAAAGATACCTTGCCAGGCACGGTAACATACGCCCATAACCAGCTGTCAGAAATGATAACAAAATCTTTAGTGGCTTAATAATGAATATTCAAATAATCTTAAAGTCATCTATAAGTCAAGGCAAAACCCTGAAACAGTTTATCAAATTATCAAACATGGACAATGTCTCATCGACGTACACACAAGGGCATTAGCTCTGAAACGGTTCATCCGATTATTACCAAATTCTAACTTGATCGAGATCTCATTAATTATACATACATACCTAATATTCATCTAGTTTGGATAAAAACTGTAGTCTCTATTGTGCCTTCAAGCCAAATTTGACGCGTTTTTACTAAATCAAGGGCAATAACTCCAAATCCGGAAGTCCAATTATCACCAATTTCGAACTTGACCGAGATCTCATAAATATATACATGCATACCAAGTTTCATCAAGATCAGATAAAAACTGTAGTCTCTATCGCACCGACAAGGCAAATTTGACGCGTTTATACTAAATCAACGGCAATAACACCCCACACCCACACCATGTGGGCGTATAAAAATATAATCGACCGGTTTTGTTTATAAAATCATAACAAACGGTGTTTGTATAATTCCGGTCAGAAAAAACCTAAAAATAGAGACAAATTCCGCCAAATTCTAACTAACTGAGACTCTGGGTTTCCTTTTGTCTCTTATGCATGGTATATTTCTATAAATAGACAAGAGGAATATCGGCTATCGTGTCAACAAGTCGTAACAATGCGAGTAATTCTACAGATAGTTTTCGTTGTCATAGCCTTAGCTGGTATACATTTTGCTGAAGCGTCAAGTTCCAGCAATAGACAAAAACGTAAGTTTTTATTTAGCCAATGCTGATTAGATGTAAATATGGGTAGGTTCTAAGTAAAAAATCCAAATTAGTGCCCGTATTGTAGAGCAAAGGAATTATGCAGGGTCCGAATTAAATCATCAACATGAGCAGCGCATCTGATGATTGGCGATATAAAGAAAGGAGCTTCCAGCATCTGAAAATATGTTTCTTTTTCACCTGTGATAAGCTGAGGTACAGGCACTCCCAAATGTGAATAAAAAGTGCATCAACATTTTTTATTATTTTATTTTCATTTCAGGGTGTCGACGTCTGCCTTTTCTAGCTAATGGAAATGTGCTACAAAATGGACGGACAAATATAAGGTATGAATGTAACCTTGGGTACAAGTTGAAGGTTTCTGGTGTCTGTCGACGTCGGTCGTGGCTTCCAAATGTCATTTGTGAAGGTGAGAAGAGTTTACATCATATTAAAAGATTAAATTAACTTAAGATGACCAAAAAATTGAAAGTTTTAAACTTGGCTGGAATGAGTCTTTCTTCATCAGTGGATTTGCCTAGTGTCATACAACAGAATCCGTCTATAATCCAATAAATCCATAAACCTAAGTAATAACTCGTTGAATACAGTAATTTTGAATCATGCTTAGAAGTGTGTTTCAATAATCATTTAGTTTAATGGATTATCATATTATATAGAGATTCTATTCTTTTCTCACGTCACCGGGTAAGTCCAACTGATGCATATACACTAATTGTTGACCAAGTTGGAGACTTCTAATTGAATGACCATTCTAGAGGTAGTATTCTAATTACTTAATAACTTTAAATATGATCACAACCACGGTATCTATTCGTTGATGGACAAAAATATGAACATAATGGTTAAACAATAGACGTGAAAGATTCGAAATTTGCCGGAAGAAGATGCGAACTTTAAATTATCATAACATGATAAAAAGCATGTATCACAATTGGTAATGAACATGTACCACTATTTCCACTGTTGCGAGTACGTATTGCTGATACGAATTTTAATTAACATGATTTAATTGTTTATTTAACAGAAATACAATGTAAAGCCGATCCGGTTATACCAAATGGTTCTCTCGACTCTAGTATAACTTCAAGAAAATTTGATGCAAAATATACTTTTACATGTAATGCTGGATTTAAAGGAATGGGAAAAGTAAAATGTAATAAGCTTGGAATTTGGGAAGTTAATGGTAATTGTGAAAGTAAGTTTACGTTATTTTTTGGTTTTTTTTGCAATTAAAATAATATTTCGCGGTTATCAGACTCTCGTGTCCATGAGAAGAAAACAGTACAGGCGCGAAACACAATACTATTACAGTTACCGATAAGAACGTCTGTATTGTTGTTAAGCATTGCCCATTTCAACCAAGGCAATTACCAATCTTTCAGTAAGCAACTACCTTTCTTTGAATGCAACAGTTACCATTCTTCCAGTAAGCGGTAACCCATTTCATTAGTTATTTATATGATTTAATAATATGCATGTATACCATTTTGGAGCTTAGTATAAGTTGTTTCTGTTAGTGTTGCCACAAGTACGTATTGCTGATACAAATTTTAATCAAAATGATGTATTTTTCTACTTGGCAGAAATACTGGATCTGTGTAAAGACGACCCAGTTATACAGAATGGTACTCTCGACACTAATATAACTTCAAGAGAATTGGGTGCAGAATACACATTTACTTGTAATGCAGGATTTAAAGGAATGGGAAATGTTAAATGTAATAGTTTGGGAATCTTTGAAGTTAATGGTAATTGTGAAGGTAAGAGTACTTTGATATTGATGTTTTGCAATTAAACATTTACCAATGAAAATAATATTTTGATTAACTCTGGTGTGCATGAGAAGAGAAAGAAAATTTCAGTGGTATCACACTACTTGAAAGTCTATATTGTTGAAAAATATAGTCCATCCTTTCAGCGAGCAATTACCATTCTTTTAGTGAAACAAGTACCTCTTGCAATCACCCTTTGTTCAATGAACAATTGCCTTTTTAATTGGTCAATTGTTGGTCTTAATCAGCACATACACCACTGATAAATAATACCTACAGTATGTGTCATTGTTATCTGTCCTACCACTGTACGAAGCCTCTTTTTTATATTTCCATTCTTTTTTACAGATTGTTTTTTAGTATCCAAAATATTATTGGTAACAGAAGAAAAAGCGGCCACTCTCAGTGGCGTCACCGAAGACGAATGCACTGACCAGCAATATATTGATAGAAATTTTACCGATTGTGGGACGGCTTTTGTTTTAAATGATTGTACAGTTTTTCTGTTACCATTGATCGATATATATTTAGCTGACACTTTAGCTGAATGTAAACAATTATGCATTGCTGCTGCTAGCTGTCTTCTTTTCTCTTATGCTCCAGAAAGTGTGCTATGTTTACTATTTGACTCGCTTTCCGATGAATCCTTTACCTTTCAAGATTTCCCTAATGCATCTACCCAGGAGAGAGACTGTCAAGTTTAATAATATTTCAATATTGTCAATATCAATAAATCTATGAATCAGTATTTAAAATCGGTGAAAGGCAAAGAAAAGAGGGAAACAAGCAGTGACAAAGCAACCTTAGCCGCCGCATCTGCCATGTCATTCCCCCGTATATCCATGTTACTGGGGAGCCAACAAAGAACAATGTCCTTTTTCGGCCTAGAGAGCTTGTATATATCCCCGATTATTGGGTGTACAAGCTGGATGTTATTAATAGCTTGTAATGAAAAAAAAAAGAATCAGAAAATATAATACATTTTTTTAATGATGTAGAGGACTGAAAGAACACAAGTGCCTGTAAAATGGCAATGAGTTCTGCTGTGAAAATGGAGGCTGCTGATGGTAAAGCTACAGATAGAACTTCGGATGGTGTAACTGTAGCGGCTGCTACCTTATCACCATCCTTAGATCCATCTGTATAGAAAGGTGAGTAATCCCCATATTTAGACCTTAGTTCTAGAAATTTAGATTGAAACACTATAGAGCTTGTCTGAGTTTTCTTATTGCTCGATAGGCTGAAGTCTATCTGAAATAGAGCAATCGACCACGGTGGAGCTGTGGTCATTACGAAGTCCGCAATAATGTCGTGGCTGATACCAGCCGAGGCTTTGCCTCGTACAAATGCTCAAAGAAAGGTCTAAATACGGGGCGGTAAGCAGGATGGTGGTGGTAGAGATACTATTTTAATGGCGTACTGTAATGAAAGTCTGTCCCGTCTGTCGTTCAATGAGGGCTCATTAGCCTCGACGTACAGACTTTCAACTGGAGTTGTACGAAATGCACCTAAACGGATTCTAAGTCCTTGGTGATGTATGGTATCAAGCTCTTTGATGTAGGATTGACGAGCCGACACCCATAATCGAGCTTGGAACGAACCAAAGCTCGATATAATCGGAGGAGGACCTTGAGGTCAGCTCCCCAGTCAGTATTGGATAAGACTCTCAGTATGTTGAGGGCTTTCAGACATTTGTTCTTGAGGATTTTAATATGGGGACGAAAAGAAAGCTTGCTGTCAATGGTGAGACCTAAAAAATTAAATTCCTGTACAACAGGAATGGCTGCACCGTCCAAGCGTAGCACTGGGTCAAGGTGTAATCCTCTACGTTTACAGAAATGCATGCAGACGGTCTTGGATTTCGAAAACCTAAATCCATTGTCAGCTAAATCGTCTGCATGTTTGTAGAGCCATTAAACATCTGAAAGTCATCAACATACAGAGAGCCATCAACCCCCCGTCTAAGGCACGACGTGATGGAATTAATTTTAATAGAGAACAGGGTAACGGATAATATGGTACCCTGTGGAACTCAATTATCCTGAGGAAAAGGATCTGAAAAAATGGAGCCAAGTCGTACCTTAAACGTTCTATCATGTAGGAAATTGGAGATAAATAATGGCAATCTTAAGTCAAAGAGATCACGAAGAATGCCATATCTCCAAGTGGTGTCATAAGCCTTCTCCAAATAAAAAAATATGGCTACAAGGTGTTTATTTTGGATGAAGGCATCCCTGGCGAACGATTCAAATCTAACGAGAGGATCAAGGGTGCTCTTTTGGGACCGAAATCCACATTGAAGGTCAGTTAGTAGATTGTTTGACTCAAGGTGCCAAACAAGCCTTCGATTGATCATTCGTTCCATGGTTTTACAAATGCAGCTGGTTAATGCAATAGTAAGGTAATTAGTAGGATTCGTAGGATCTTTACCAGGTTTAGGAATGGGCACAAAGGTAGCAATCCTCCAAGATGGAGGAAATACACCGTCATCCCAAATCTGGTTGAATATACATAAACGTTTTTTTAATGTTGGGTAAGGAAGATGTTTTAGTATCTGATAATGGATATCATCAGGCCCAGTAGCTGTATCATGAGCCTAATTCCAAGATATTAAATTTATCATTATAATATTCCTCGTTTTTTCATGCAAGATTAAGTCTTTTCCTCTCTTTCCGGAGTTTCACTCTTCGAAAAGCATCTGAGGAAAAGTTAGAGGAAGAATTATAAGAAAAATTATGACCTAAGGAATTAGCAATATCTGGGAGAGTGGTGAGAGTTGAACCATCTACCTCTAGATGGTTCACAGATATTGTATCCGCTTTACCCTTGAGCCTACGAATCCTATCCCAGACTGATTTGGAAGACGTACGACTGTTGACCCTTGAAACGTACTCCTGCCGTGACGACCTCCTCGCTTGGCGGATAGTCCGCCTGGCTTTCGCCCGTGCAATGCGGAAAGAGGCCATGTTGTCAGTGGTAGGAGATCGTTCAATCAGTGGCAGAGCATGGTTACGTTCTTTCAGTGCTGTCTTGCAGTCTTCGTTAAACCATGGTTTATTGAATCGTTTTTGAGTTACCGAGATTTTAGTTTACGTATCGCCTGACCCGATATATCTTGTAAGATGGTGGTAAATAATTCCATCGGGTCTTCTGCCTCATCTAGATCATCTTGAGGAAAAGAAGAAATGCAAAAGCCTCAAAGAGAGGCCAATTAGCTTTGGAGAGTTTCCATCTTTGTGGCCTGTCTACTGGTGAAGGACCATTATTCCGTAGACTTACAGGATAGTGATCACTGTGGCAGAGATCGTCGTCGACCCTCCAAGAAAAATCTTGGAACAAAGATGGAGAGCTAATTGTAAAATCTAGATGAGAAAAAGTTTTGTTTTTTGAGCAGAAATGCGTAGGCGATTCGTCATTAATGATGCAAAGATCATTGTCATAAATGAAGTCAGCTATTAATTTTCCTCTACTATTATCATCGGAGCTACCCCAGAAAGAATGGTGACCATTTGAATCGCCTAACAAAATGTAAGGAGAAGGAAGCTTGGCAACAAGGTTATCCAATTCTCTCGGGTTCAATGATAAGCTAGGTGGTAAGTAGATGGAACATATGGTAATAGGCACGTGGAGCGTAACCCGCACGGCTATTACCTGCAGAGTAGAATTGAGTGTGGGCAACGTTTCTATTGACAATAATAGAAACACCACCCGATACCTTATCATCACTAGTGCCATAATGGTGGTAGGAAACAAAATGTTTAAATGGCTCTAAACGCAAATCAGTCGGCTTGAGGAAAGTCTCTTGGAGACAAATAGCCAATGAATTGTATTGTTGCATTAATAGCTGAACTTCATTAAGATTATGACTTAAACCTCGACAATTCCATTGTATTATATTATTTTTTTTGATGCATTGTCAGGGAGGTTTACGGTAAGGGGGGTTGAGAACTTCCGCATCAACCTCGGAAGCCTCCATATCTATACTATCACATATGGCAGACTTCAAAAGATCTTGGACAGTCTTTGGAAAAGGCAACATGCTTTCCATTGCAATTGCAACAACAAGGAGCTTCGGTGCAATCCTTGTTGTCATGCTCAGACTGACCACAACGCGCAGACCGAATCGAACTCTTACAAGTTCGAGTTCCATGCCCGAAGCGTTGACAGTTGTAACATCTGAGAGGATTTGGTGTATATGGTGAAACTTTAATGTTCAGATAGCCTACTTTTATTTCGGATGGTAAATTAGGTCGGTTAAATATCAGAATGAATGTGTTCAGAGAGGAATGAGGTGAAACTTTGATAGGGATATTAGCCAGTGTGGATGATTTTAATAACAGCTCAGAATGAATTTTGCGTGAGCATTCAACCAACGAAAACCCATTTCGTAATTTTTTTTATCGATTTTGGTTCACTGGCAAGTCCAGTCAAACCTTTTGAAATTGCAAATTGGGACAATGATGATAAAGACCTCTCAGGGTCACTACTGTCAATGACAAGAAACCGAGGCCATGATTCGTCTGAATTAGACGAATCAGTAAATTCGGCCTCAGTTAACCGGCGCTTAAGTTTTTGTTGGTTTGTGTAGCCATGAAGAAATATTGAAGGATTCATCTCCCGAAACCCCCGACCAACACGGACCACGAAATCCGCGCGGGCTTTACGCGGGACTCCAGCGCCGGCGCCCTAGGGGTAATCGGGAGATATACTTAGACAAAAAAAAAAGAATAAAAGTTCTGGGTGGAGCAAATAAATTCCGAACTTTTATTTTTATTTTTTTACCCAATTGACCCAAGCCGCTGCTTCTGAGTCAGTGAAATGATTTGGAAGAAAAAAGATACTAACTATTACAAGAAAAAATTGAATCTGTTCTGACCACTGACTCATAGGCTCAACACGACTAGCCGATTGACCAGTGTGGGCCACACTGGCCACCCGTCTAGGAATCCCCTGGCCCAAAGTGATGTATTGGAAAGTATGTTATCCCCTGGCCCAAAGTGATGTATTGGAAAGTATGTTACCCTCAACCACCAGGTGTCCATTCAAAACCGACACGGGTCGCACCTCAAGGCAAATGAGGAGCCCCAATTCAGTCGCCTCTTACGACACGCAATGGGGGGCGGTGGACCTTTTCTTAACCCCGTGCCACTGGGGCGTCCTCTACCAAAGATTTAATCCCAAATTTGTTGCGGAGTACAAATATACATATTGGTTGCCAAGGGTTTTGAAAGATAAAATACTGCAAAAGGTTTTTTTTAAAAAAAGGCTATCTGGTAGAACAGTTGATAGCGCTCCTGATGACGAACAAGACAAATCATTCTACCATGCAGAAAGTCAGAAAATGATACGATCGATACGGCAGACAATGACGGACGAGGATAGTGATAGAGACAGAACACAAGAATTCACCAATACTTCCCAGAGAGGACGATAATGAGACAAGCTTTAGAAATGTTAGCCCTATCGAACCTTTAGAGCTTTATTCTATTTATGGTTCTGCATTTTGATTTTTATACTACTTGTTTTAATAGGTCCTGTAACCATCGCGAGTTTTCTAGACATTTGTAAAAAATTTATAGAAACATCAACATGTGAAGCGGAAGTTGAAGCCAGACATAAAATATGAAATTATATATCACTGGAAAGAGCACGATGAGCACATGCAGAATCCACAAAATTAACCCTCAAAATTAATTTTGTCACGAGCTAGAGCAGTCCAAATTTTCGAATTTGGCTGTTTTTGGACAGCTGTAGAACCGGAAGTAGACGTCAGAGGTCAAATATGAAAGCATCAACTGATAGCCAAGGTCAATGACCTTTGACCCAGTAAAGGTCAGGGTCATCAAAGGTCAATGTCTAAAATTAAAAATATTGAATTTCTAAAAAACCTGTTCCTTTTTTAAATTATGAAGCTGAAACAACTGAACTTCTAAAGCGGTCCATACACGCTCAATATGATTGACAGAAAACCCGACAGAATGACATTCTGTCAATCATATTGAGTGTGTGTGAGCGATATTGAAGCATTACGTCAGATTCTGACAGACTCCAAAAAATTTCAAAGCTCGTTGATATTTTCTGACGACATAATCTGTCGCGTCATCATATTGTGAGGTGTGTGGGCATTATCACGTCAGATTTCATTTCAAGGACAAAATTCAAAGGTGGCACATCTCTAAAAAATGCCTTCTACAAGCAAAGAAGAAGATCGAAAGTTTGTTCTTGAATGCATATAGGTGTACAAAGGCCTGCCGGCTCCTTGGCGGGTAAAATCTGATGATTACAGCAATAAAACGAAGAAGGAGGAAGCTTATGCAACATTATTAGGAAAATACCAGGAAAAATTTCCTGATGTCACAAAAGATGAACTCCGAAAAAAGTTTAATGCATTAAGAACAAATTTTCGAAAGGAACTGAAAAAGGTGCTAGATTCAACTAAGTCAGGAGTTGGAACGGATGACATCTATCAACCAAAACTTTGGTATTTTGATGCCATGAGCTTTCTGAGAGATCAAGAAACACCAAGCACTTCGATGAACACAATTCTTCCATCAGTACAAGATGAAAGCAGTCAGGATGAAGTTAGTTTCATTTTTTATCAATTTAAGAATTTACATCAATACTTATTGGATTTGGGCCCATGATTTATGATGTAGGCCTAGTAGCCCAGGTTTATGAACCAAAATTGACTTTATTCAGGCATGCATTTTTATTAGCAAGGGACATAACTCATCGATAATGTAAACATGCTATGTAAATATTTATAACTCAAATATCAACATTTCAATATATCAGTAAACGAAATATTATCAACATTTTATGTTTTTGTTCATAGCCCACATGCTTAATTCCAATATCAAAGTCAATGGATTAGCCAATCAAAATAGCAAAAAAAAGTTCACAATTTATTTACATACATTTAATAGGCTATACATGAAATTTGTTATTTGTTATTTGATTATTATGACCCCTACAATGTGTGGTATTTGTGCAGTTCATACAATATTGGCTATAAAATGTCCACATCTCATTTAACATGCTGTAGCTGCCAAGGGACAGATCCCCTTGTACAGAAATAGTTCTTAAATCCGTCTCGTACTGATTTAGCCTAGGAAGACATATTCCTGGTCTGAGTAGCTTGCAAACCTTGAAGTTCGATCTGTAGTTCCCTGCGTGTACCTCCCCTTCCTCACCTTCCCAATCTACACAGCCAGGAACAAAATATTTTCTTGACTTTCTGCGTAAGAAATTGTGTAAATAGCAACATGCTAAAGTCACTATTTGTACCTTCTCAGGTTTCAGAGGAATGTCTTTTTGAAACACGCCAAATCTTGAGGCCAAAATACCAAACGCATTTTCCACAATTCGACGTGCACGACTTAGTCGATAGTTAAAGATCCTTTTATTAACATTATCCTCGCCTGATAATTCTCCACCGTATGGTTTTAAAAAATTTTCAGTTAATGAAAATGCGTCATCACCAACAAAAACGTAGGGAAGGCTTATAATATCATCTCCTCGAAGCTTATCCGGTTTTGGTAAACATAGTCCATTTTCATATAGCATCTCTCCGAATTTAGTTTGATTAATGACACCACCATCTGAAACACGTCCATTGAGGCCAACATCCACCATTAGAAACTCGTAATTTGAATCAACAAAAGCCATTAAAACTATACTAAAATATCCTTTGCAATTGTAATAAAACGACCCTGATCCCGGAGGAGGCTTTTTAATCCTAATATGTTTGCCGTCAACGGCTCCGACGCAATGAGGGAAATTCCATCTGTCTTTGAAAGCATCTGCCGTAAACTTCCATTCCTGTTCGTTGTCCGGCAACTGAAATAAAATAATTAATTGTCGCTATGAAAGCATGATAACAATGAAAGTTTGAATTTGCGGTTATCTGTTTATTCCTAATATTTGATCATTTTCTTTTACAGATATTGAATATTGAGGATCAAGAGAGCGACTCCACACCATGCAAGAGCACTATACCAGTAGTCGCGAAAGAGGTCTGTCGAATTCCAGTCCATGCGGAATCAACACCATCCACTCAACCAAAACGACGTAAATCGACAATTGCCAACAGCCATGATGAACTCATAACTATGGCTTGTGACGACAGTATTAACGAAAACTTGAGTTTGGCAAAGTCTTGGGCTGTTGACCTTCAACGAATGGACAGAGAACAATGTCTTCTTGCTAAGAAAGCAATTAATGAAATTTTATTTGAAGGGCAAATGGGCACGTTACATCGCCAGTCTGTTCAGATTAATGCACCGATGTTCATGCGATCAAGCACACCCTACAGCACGACTTCCTCATCTGCAAGTCAAGGATCATGGTCGCATATTGATCCGAGGGGGGCTCATCTTGACTCAGGCACGTGTAGCAGTGTTGAAGAAAATTGCAGGAATTGGTCTTCAGAAAATCCCCTGAGTCAATATTTTTCAGCTTTCAATCCTTGAAGTTAAATGTCATTGATGGGCCTACTATTTTTCTGAGCTTTTGATTTATATAGGCCTTATTTTTATTGGAATATTTCGTTGTTGTAAAATGTATTTTATTGAGATTAAACATGTTTCCTCACCTTTATATATTCTCGAAGAACACAGATAATTGCCTGACAGGTTTCAAAAACAATGCCACCAATGGCCTGTGGTGAAACAGCTGTGAGAAACTTCAAATCTTCAAACAAATCCCCTGTCGCTAGGTATCTCAAAGCAATAGATAGACGCTGGTGTGGAGGTATAGAAGGTCGCATAACAGTATTTTTCTTTTCTATTATTGGTGCAACTAGTGTTAGGAGTTCATCGAATGAGTCGCTGTCCATTCGCATGAAGTTTCTGAAGTCCATCGGCTCATTTAAGCGAATTCCCTCCAACAATGCTCCATGCCCGAACTTCTCTCTCTCTAGAAGCCATCGTTTACACCATTTACTTCTTCGCTTCCTTTTGGGAACGGGATCTTCGCTTATAAGAGCTATTGCCAATGCAATTTTAGGATCCATGTTGCCTAGCTGATGATCTAGAGACAAATGACTGCCTTTCTGTCAATACTTTTTTTTTACGTATGTGGCCACTCTGATTTCCGTCAATATTCTGATGTCAAAAAATGTCATCAGAATATTGGGCGTGTATGGGACCCTTAAGACAAAGTGGGTCTAAGAATGACGTAATTGTATGCAAAGTTCCAATTTGAACACATGTATTCTTTGCAAGTTATGCCTCTGGCCAAAAATGTCAATAATGAGTAATTTAACCCGGATGTGCCACGCCCACCTTATTTTTTTGACTCAAGTTAATTGAAATTTTAAATGTTATGTTGAGTTCAAAATTGCAAGCTTCTACATCCAAGCCAAAAGGATGAGGTAATTGTGTGCAAAGTCCCTTTTTGAACAAATGTATTCTATGCGAGATATGCCCCTGCTCCTAAATGTAAACAGTTAGTATTTCAACCCGGATGTGCCACGCCCACCTCAACTTTTTTGTCATAAGTGAATTCATATTTAACATGTCAAGGTTCTGCATCAATATACACCAAGCTCAAAGAGGCATAAATATTGTAAGAAAACACTCATATTTAAAAATCACGAATTTCAAGTTTTTTTTTAATAAATACGATTGTTATATATCACTGGAAAGAGCATGAGAAGCATTAGGTTAATTAGGTCGCGTGTTAGAGCAGTCCAAAGTTGCGAATTTTGCTTTTTTCGGACAGCCATACGACCGGAAGTAGATTTCAAACTAAGAAAAACATTCAACTGGAAATTGCAAAAAAGCAAAAGGGAAATTCAAAAATCGGCTTCCTATTTTATGTTGGCAATCGATTGCAGTTTACATACACATCAAAATTATACACGCCCACTTCTCCATAGAAGCCCCATTTTTCGTTTTACAAAAGTGTGTCATATCAAAATGGCGGCCAAAATATCGCTTCCGGTCCGAATTTTTTTTTCTTCGTTTTTTTGTAATAAAGTTGTCTACCGATCAATATTTGTGCCGTTAATCTATATAAATTACACCGGAAGTTATTCAACCGGGAGTAGATCTGAAATTCAGTCGCTTTCCTGTTTAAAAGCGGAAATGACGTACAATATTTGACTGTACTATATTATTTACATTAGTGAAGTCTCTTTGCGTTTAAAATTTCAGATCAATCGAAAAACAAAAAAGTTACAAAAAAATTGAAAAATTTGATCGAAAAAAGTGAGCTACAAATTTCGCAATTTTTCAAGTGCTATCAGGTCAGAAATTACAGATTGATTGTAAAAATGAAAACCCGAAGAAAATCGATGCAAAAATGCGCCTTCTAGAGCTGATTTTCGACTTATTGCACATGTGGACCTCCTGTGGCACTTCCATTTTTGCAAAAATGTTCCAAAATACACTGTTGCAGCCTTTGTTTAAAAGGTGTGGAAAAATCGAAAAAAAAAAAAAAAAAAAAAAAAAAAAGAATTGACATTTCGATAACAAACTGGGATTTTGCTGAAAGCAAAGTCCCACAATAAAACAATCTCTAAATTAAAAACTTACTTTAAACGTCTTACGAAGAGATTTAAATTTCGGGGAAGGGAGGGTTTGATTCTCCCAAATGTACAGGCCTAGGGTGGAGCAGACACTTTATTTAGAAATTGGGATTAAGGGTTTTGATATTAAGGGTTTTTAGTTTACTATGAACAATATCATTTAAGTTCTTATTTTTTGAATATGCATATCAACAAATTTCCGCGAACAGAGTCGCATTATTGTAGGAAGGACTCTAAGAAGGAGTTCCTGAACCCAAACCTGACTGTTACTAAAATGTACAAGATGTTCAAAGAAGAGGACTACCACGCGCCCTGTGATTATACCACCTATTTGAGGGTTTTCAATTCACAAAACTTGGCATTCCATCAACCTAAAAAAGATTTGTGTAGTTTGTGCGATACTTACAGCAGAGGGGCACCAGAGACAAAAGCACAACTCGAGGCTACGTACAGATACACATTGCCGAAAAGACGGAAGTGCGGAAGATAAAATCAGACCTTAAAGCCGACGTTGACCCCTCTAAAGTTCTGGCTACTTTCGACCTGGAGCAGGTTTTGTACCTTACTAAAACAAACCGCTGTGAAGTCTTTTATCGCCGTCAACTAGCAAATTACAACTTCACCATATACAACATCAAGAGTAAAGTATGCCATTCCTATATGTGGCATAAAGGACTTGCAAGAAGAGGATCGGATGAAATCTCCTCTTGCCTGTATGATTTCCTTCGAAATGTGGACAAAGGTAATGCTTCTGAAATAAATTTGTTTTGCGAATCTTGTGCTGGCCAAAATCGAAACACGATCGTTCCTGCGATGATGTTGCAATTCATGAAGGAGGTGTGCTCTGTCAAGAGCTTGATCTTAAACTTTTTTGAGAGAACTCATGTGTAGAGAGGGCAGTCAGCCACCTTCATGAAATCATAATGCCATCAGAACTGACAGCGATAGTAAGGTGTTGCAGGAGCAACCCTACCATAGTGAAGGACTTTTTTACTGACGAGGTACGAGACTGGAAAAGTATGTCACAGAAGATCGGATGGTGGATTGGACCAAGGCTAGGTCTCTGAAAATTACTCGAGACATGCCAATTCAGATTGGATTTAAATTATCTCACCAAGATGACCAATACTCTTACCTTTGACTGGATCAACAAAGGTCACCTAAAAACATTTATTATCCAGGCCCTGATCATGTTACCCGTGCAAAAGTGTCGATCGCCAAATACCAAAACCTTTTAGCCCTGATGGATAATGATCTACCAGTAATTAGGCATCCAGACCATCAGTCATTTTACAAAAATTTGCCACATTAACATATCAGATCGATACGACACGTAGCCTTTAACAAGGTTTATATTACAATGTTTGGATGTAGTCAGCTTTTCATTGCTAAATTTATCAACGTTATTTATTATTTTAATGAATTAATTTCAGAATTGTGTTATGCGTCATATGAATTGTTTTATTTATTGTTATTCTATGAAAGTTACTTACTTACTGGGTGATAAATCAGAATTCACAAATTTTGATATAGTTTTTAATAACATTAACACCATTTATTTCAAGCTTGTGATGGGGGGTGAGACGAAATTGGCAGCGCGCGTTGGTTATTCAGAGGCAACGCCGATTACTTTGGTCAAAAGGGCAAAAGCACACAGGTGGGCGTATCTTGGCGTAAAGTACAAATAACGTCATAAGTTTAGGCTTACAAAATGGCGTATCTGCCATCCTTTGTTTCCAAAGCCCGTGGCAGTGAAAATATTAATGTTTTTTGAGAAAAGATTAACTAAAGTATATGGGGTCATTCTCCCATTAACGTGCAGTTTTACTGATTTTTTGTCCCGGTCGATACATTTCAATAAAATATACTTTTTCTCTATTTTTCATTATTGTTATCATATTGTCAATTCTTTTTGCAACTTTTTGTTTTTGCATCGATTGATCTGAAATTTAAAATGCAAAGAGACATCACTAAAGTAAATGATATGATACAGTCAGACTTTTGACGCCACTTCCGGTTTTAAAGTTGGAATCAATTAAAAGTACAATCTACTTCCGGTCGAATAGCTTCCGGTGTATATTAAATTGGCCAACGGAATTTATGCAGGTCGTAAGTAAATGCTAATACAAAAAAACGAAGAAAATAAAATTCAGACCGGAAGTGAAACTTTGGCCGCCATCTTGATTTTCTTACTTTTCTTAAAATCGAAATAAGTCCTTAGGAATAAACTAAAACTTCCGGTTGAATTTTTCAAAGTTTGAAAGCTTATTTCTTGTGACCTTGACCTCTCATGACGTTGACCTTTGATAGGACAAAGGTCAATGTCCTTGGCTGTCAGATGATGCTTTGACATTTGACCTCCGACGCCTACTTCCGGTTTTATAGCTGTCCAAAAACAGCCAAATTCGCAACTTTGGGCTGCTCTTACACGTGACCTAATTAACTTAGAGGGTTAATTCTTTCGGTTTCCTAATGTACTTCTCATGCCCTTTACATAGATATATAACAATCGTTCTTTTAAAGCAAAATTGAAATTCGTGATTTTTTCAAATTTGAGGTTTTTTTTTACAATATATGCGTCTTTTTGAGCTTGGTGTATGTATATCTTATGATCTATTAGATGTAAAACCTTGATATTTGGAATACAACTAGACACTTTGAATATGAATTCACCTATGACAAAAAAACTTATGTGGGCGTGGCACATCCGGGTTGAATTACTAATTGTTTACATTTTGGGGCTGGGGCATAACTCGCATAGGATGCGTTTGTTCAAAAAGAGACTTTGCACACAATTACCTTATCCTTTTGGCCAGTTTGTGTTAACATCTCAGTTGTTTCAGCTTTATAGTTTCAAAAAAGGAACGGGTTTTAACATTTGCATATTTTCATTTTTCGATTTTGACCTTTGTTGACCTATATCTTTTGACCTCTATTATGTAGGAACTTGACATTTGAAATATAACGTAACATTTTGAATATTAATAAACCTATTCAAAAAAAATTGAGGTGGGCGTGGCACTTCTGGGTTAAATTTCCATTATTGACATTTTTGTATACATTTATTCAAAATGGAACTTTGCTCACAATTACCTCAAATTTTGAGCCACTTTGTCTTAGAATTTCAATTGTTTTTGCTTCATAGTTCAAAAAAAGGAACAGGTTTTGGAAATTCAAAATTTTCAATTTTTGACCTTGACCTTTGTTGACCTTGACCTTTGTGGGATCAAACGTCATTGGCATTGGCTATCTATTTATACTTTTATATTTGCTGTCCTATGTCAACTTCCGGTTTTATAGTTGTTAGCAATTTGAAATTTTAATGGCGT